CCTCCTGGGCGTGATCTTCTTGAAGGGCAACCAGGCCACTGAGAAAGATATCTGGGAATTCCTGAATGCTTTGGGGATCTACCCTGGGAAGAGGTACTTCATCTTTGGGGAGCCCAGGAGCTCATCACCAAAGATTTGGTGCAGGAAAAGTACCTGGAGTACCGGCAGATGCCCAACAGTTATCCTCCATGCTACAAATTCCTGTGGGGTCCCAGAGCCCAAGCTGAAGCCAGCAAGACAAAAGTCCTGGAGTTTTTGGCCAAGATCAACGATACTGACTACAGTGCCTTCGCATCCTGATATGAAGAAGCTTTGAGAGAAGAGGAAGAGAGAGGCACAGGCAGAGAATGGGTCTGGGCTGGTCCTAATGCCAGGACCAGGTCCCATTTCAGGGTGAAGTCCAGCAGATCCTCCCACCCCTAGTGAAGTCTGAGCAGATTCTTCCCTTTGTTACTGAAAACTTTCTAAGTAGTGGAGGCGAGGTGGGGCTTGAGGGAGCACATGAATGTCTTCTTGTGTTTCCCGTTATACTTGAGTAACTTGTAGATTTAGCTTGTTTTTTGTATGTTTCAAGTGTTGTTCCTTGTAACTGAAGGCTTATTTAGATTCAGAATCTAAATTCACCCTCATATACTTATCGCTCTTTTTTCAAATTTAGAAGTAAGAGTATTGTATTGTGTAAAACAAATTGAAAATCCTTGAATCTTTTTTTGTCATCCATAACTAGTTAACGTGATAATAGGGTAGTGATATCCTTGGAAATACTAACATTCACAATTAGTTGGGATCACAAGACAGAGGTGGAAAAATATAAAAGGTGGTGAATTCTTGGTTTCCCGTATTCCTTTTGGTGAAAGTAAAACACACTTGTGCCCTGATTTGTTTAGCTTATTCAAGAATGTGGGAGAAAATAAATCGTGATGATTCGACCTCTTGTCTGCCGGCACTTATTTTCCCCAAACAGTAATTGAGCATCTGCTCTTTGGAAGGCTTCATGCTAGTACTGGGGACCTCTCGGCAAAGGTGTTGCGGCCGCTGTGCATAGATTTTAGTGTCTAAGAGCAGTTATGAAATAAGAAGGAGGTTAAAATATTCTCCAAGACCTAAGGAGTAGGAAAAAAAGAGTGAGGACTTCAGGGTTCTTTCTGGTGTAAATGTCCTGAGGCTGGGCAGTTTGGGGCCTTGGGAAACTTCTATTTCTCAGTGGGAGGAAATTTTAAATTAGGATATATGGGTAGGTAAGGGTAGGGGCTGAGTGGGGAGGTGATTGTTAGGTAGTGGGTGAGAGGGTCTTATGAGGTTGTGGGAGAGGTGCCCAGGGCCAGACACTCCTGTGATGTATGTATCTCAGACTCAAGAGGCTGAGCTTGAAATGGAGACCAGTGATTCACAGTGACTCTGGGATTTTGGGTAAACCAGAGAGAAATTCCCACCTGGGGCAGGACTGGAAGGTGTCTTGTGCTCTTGTCCTGGTGCACTTGAACACATGCACTGACTGGGTGTGTTGTGCACATCCTTTCCAGGTAGTTTGTGGGAAATAACATGATATTCTCTGGAGGTGAGAGGTCAAGAAACCACTATTCTGGCACCTTCTTGTGCTTTTGGAGCCAGAATCCACTCCATTGAAAGTACATTTGACTTAGGTGATCTTGAGTATAGGAGATTCTAGGTGTCACAAAGGGTTAATCGCTTGACTACTAGCCAGAAGGTCAGTGTTTCGAACCCACCCAGAGGCACCTTGGAAAACAGGCCTGATGAGCTGCCTCTTAAAGGTCACAGTCATGAAAACCCTATAGAGCAGTTCTACTCAGCACAGGTCAAGTCACCTTGCATTGGAATCAACTCGATGGCAACTAACAACACAACATCGTCAATGTAAGTTGGCAAACTGTAAGGGAGGGCTAAATTTTAGGTGGTGACCAATTAAAACAGAGGTTGTTGGGATGAAAAGGCAGCTGGGAGGAAGGGACAGACATTGTTGATTCTTGACATAAACAAGAGCTTTGAGTTGCATCTGGCTGGAAAAGAGAATCCCACACCCAAATGAAATAACAGATGCTCTAATGGGAAATAGTTTTACTTGCTAAGTAGCGTTTTGGCTGACGTGGGTTTCTTCATCGTAGAGAGTTGCTTATTGTCGAATATTTCCTGGAAAAGAAATTCTCTGAGGGCTAGTTGGTATTGTGTGGGCTCAAAAGAATTATAGTAATAACTGCCATTCGTTAAAGACCCAAGCTCTATGGCAAATGCTTTACATACATTACGTGTTTGCCTACAGTCATACTTGATAGGGTTTAATTAGAAACCCTTGGCAGGTGAAGATCTTGCAGTTGTCTCAGGTTCACAATGCTGGTAAGTGATAGACTTAACCTAGACCCCTGGTCTGAATCCGTCCACTGTTCCACTCCTCCCAGCTGGAGGCTGACCTTGTGTCTCTTAATTCACTTTTCCTCTCACTACAACAAATTGTCACAAAGGACCATGCCCAGTACTGTTCTGGAATACACTGTCTGAGCAATAAGAATACCAAAATTGACCTGAGGTATTAATAAAGAAAAGCAAGAGGTAATATTCAGTGACCATTTAATCATGCACATACGCAATGTCAGTTAACCTCAAAAGATCAAACAAACAAAAAACACCAAACTAGTTGCTGTTGAGTTGGTTCTTACTCATAGCAACCCCACAGGTTGTAGAGTAGAACTAGACTCCATAGGGTTTCAAGGCTGTGACCCTTAGGAATTAGTTATCAACAGGCCCTTCTTTCAAGGCACCTCTGAGTGGGTTGAAGCCTCAAACTTTTGGTTAACAGTCCAGTGCTTAACCATTTGCACCACCCAGAGACTCCTCAAAAAAAGATCAGCCCCCTGAAAAGATCAGGGGCTCACAAAACTATTGCATCCGCTTCCTTCACTGTGGAAACTAAATCTTTTAGAACAAATTTACATAAAAGTCTCAGTCTAGGCTGTAAAGAGAAGGACTAGATCAGCGTTTGTTTTCTTGACAGCCCATCACCTGTCCTGGGCCCCCTGCCTTGTGCTGCAGCTTTTCCGTCTTACATCACTCCTCACTCTGGGACAGGGTCTTAGTTGCTGCATCATTTGTAGTAGGGAAACTGCTCAAGGGTTTACAGGGATGTGGCATTTTCCAGGAAGCCTTTAATTAAAGAAACAGGAACCAATGTAAAGACACACCATTTAGGGGACTGATAACCCAGAATATATGGGGTCATGGACAGGATGTGTCTGCTCTCGGACGTTGAGGCCTCAGACAGGCCTGTCAGGGTGAATATACCCTCACTTAAAATTCAGGACTCCGAAGGACATGAGAACATTGGTTTAAGAGGGTAAATTCAGGTCAGAAGACATAGAAGACCCAGGGCCTACCAGCAGTCTGGTTGAAGAACCTGAATGAGGGTTGAAGGCATACCCCAGCCCTCATCAGAGAGGGTCCCACAGAGTCTGAATCTTGAGGTCATCCATGGGAGGGACCAGACATGAGTAACCTGATGTGGCATTCCCTGACTTCCTCCTCTGGGGCCTCAGGGAGGTGAGAGCCTTGGTCTGAGGTTGTGGAACTCAACTCAGCAGAGGGAAGCATCTCAGGGGATGCCAGGAATCTATAACGGAACCCTGAGTGAGTTCTGTGGTGACCACTGACCCCAGAACAGTGGGTTGAGATGGACATGACCCCTGCTAGAAGCCCTGGGAGGCATTGGTGAGGGCTTTGGTCTGAGGGGTGGCCTGAGGTCAGCAAAACCAGGAGTCCCAGGACTGGCCAGGAATCAAGGTAAAGACCCTGAGTGAGGATTAAGGGAAAGTTCCACCATCAGAACTGAGGAGACCACAAAAAGCCCTGTCCTACTGGCCTCCCTGGGATACTGGGGCATTGTTGACATAATGAAGCTTACTCATTTCCTCTTATGTTGCCACAGAGGGTTGAGGGATTTGATGTAAGGGGGATGACCTAAGGGCAGCAGTAGGAAGATTTCCCGGTTTCCCAGGAGTCAAGGTAAAGATTCTCAGGGCTACATGGTCACCCTACTCATAATAGTGGGAGAATCATAGAATCCATCCACTACTCTCAATCAGCATAGGGAGACTACAGACAGGTGTGGTCAGATGAGGCAACCATCATTCTTCCTAGGAGGTCTCAGAGAGATGCTGGCCTTAGTATGAGGGGATAGGCCTCAGGACAAGGGAGGGAGGTGACCCAGACCATCCCAGGGGTCAAGGCAAAGACTGAGGAGACACCTGCCATTAAATAGAAGCAATAAAAATGGGTCCAAGTCCCTCCCCTACTTTTAGCTATTGAAAGTCCAGGTCAGGGCTGTCAGGCTGTGGTTCCACCTGACTTCTTTAGATCAGATCTCAGGGAGGTGAGATCTTTGGTCTGAGGGTGCAGCCACCAGTCAACAAAAGGGAGGTGTCCCAGGTACTACATGGAGGCCAGGTGAGGACTCTGAATGAAAACTGAGGCATCTACGAGCAAGTCCAGGGCATAAGAGCCCCACTGATCTGTCACCATCCGGTGTTTGTGGACCGGTATGGTAAGCTGATGTGCTCCTTTACTTATACCTTTGGGGTCTCAGGGAGATGTCTGCCTTGATTTTACGTGTCCATTTCAAAGCAGCTGACGTGAGGGGGGCCATGATCTACCAACTGATAGCACGATATTCTAAATGTGAACTGAAACAACCCCCACTCCAGAATAGAGGGATCACCATTATGAGACCCTGCTGACAGCCCCAGTAAACCCCAGGCAGGTCTGGCAGGCTGCAGCCTAAGGCCCCTTATAACTTCCTCCACAGAGTTCTCAAAGAGAGGCTGTCAGGAGAAAAGTAGCTTTCATGGAAATCTGCAGACGTGTCCTTTGTTAAAGCCAAGGTGGAACCTGCCTGCTGAAGGGGTGCACACCCTCTCAGCCCCCCTCTTCCTGAGAGCCCACATCACCTGCACTCCTGCCCATGGTCCTGCCTGCTGTCCCTGACCAGAGTCATCATGCCTCGACGTCAGAAGCATAAGCTCCGAAAAACTCGTGACAAACACCACCAGGCCCGACGTGACAGCCAGGATCACAAAGGTGCTAAGGCCACCACAGCAGTGAAAGAAGAGTCCCTCTCCTCCCCCTCTCCACTTTTTAGGGATCCTCCCCAGAGTTCTTCTGCTGATGAGTCACGTAGTACTCCCCAGCGGCCTCAGACAGCCCCCTCCACCAGCACTACTTCTGCAGACATTTCTTGCACAAGATCGGATGAAGATGCCAACAGCCAAGAGGAGGACAGTTCAAATTTCTCCGACACTGAGGGCTCATGCCCAGATCCTCTAGCCATTAAGGCAGATTTATTAGAGCAGTTCCTGATGTACAAGTATAAAATGAAACAGCCCATTAGAAAGGCAGACATGCTGAAGATTGTCAGCCAAAAGTACGAGGGCCAGTTCTCTGAGATCCTCAAGAGAGCATCTGAGCGCATCGAGGTTGTGTTTGCAGTTGACGTGAAAGAAGTTGACTCTGCCACTGAGAGCTATGCCCTTGTCAGCAAACTGCACCTCCCCAACAAAGGAAGGGTGCGTGCTGGTAGGGGGCTGCCCAAGACTGGTCTACTGATGACTGTCCTGGGTGTGATCTTATGGAAGGGCAACTGTGCCACTGAGAAGGAGATCTGGGAATTCCTGAGTATGATGCGTGTATTTGCTGGGAGGAAGCACTTCATCTATGGGGAGCCCAGGAAGCTCATCACCAAAGATTTGGTGAACTTGAAGTACTTGGAATACCGGCAGGTGCCCAACAGTGATCCTGCATGCTATGAATTCCTGTGGGGTCCCAGAGCCCACGCTGAAACTTCCAAGATTAAAATCCTTGAGTTTTTAGCCAAGGTCAATGATGTTGTTCCCAGTACTCTCTGCTCCCTATATGAAGAGGCTATGCGAGAAGAGAAAGGGAAAGCCCAAACCAGACTTACAGGCAAGGCTGGCTCTACCACCATAGCCAGTGCATTTCCCAGGGCCACGTGCAGCAGCTTCTCTCACCCACTAGTGAAGTCTGAGATTTTCTTACCATCCGGCTTAGATAATCTGACATCAGAGTAGAGATTTCCCTGGAAATGACAAAGAACCCCAAAGTTAAATTTGTTGGGATAATGAAATAGCAGGGGGAATAAAAATAAAACATGATGATCGAGTCTTGGTTTTCTTTATTTCTTTTAGTCTTCCATTTCGTAAAATTAAATAATTTATACCTGGATATGCTCAGCTTATTCTAGAATGTGGGGAAATGCAATCCTAATAAATTAGATCACCTGCTCACTGGCTCTTTTATTCCCTAAACATTAATTGAGCATCTGCTCTTTGAAAGGCTCAGTGCTAGTGCTGGGGATGCTAAGATAAAGACCCAGCCCGGGCTATAGAATTTTAGAGGATATTTCCCTTAGGTTATTCTGAGAGGGTAATACAAAGGTTTAAGTACTGAAGTGTTAACTGAAATGTTGGAGGTTAGTGTCCACCCAGAGGCACCAAGGAAGAAAGGCTTGGCAGTCTACTTCGGAAAAATCAGCCACTGAAAAACCCTGAGAAGCACAGCTCTACTCTGACACACAGGGAGTTGCCAAGAGTCAGAAATGAAGCAACGGCAACTGGTATTTTGAGTGCAATCTCATAAATTCTAAGGGAGGGGTCTTGGTGGGGGTTAAATGAATGAAAATAGAGGAGATTTGGGTGAAGGGCAGCTGGGAGGATGGGATGAGTTGTTCCTTGACACAAATTCCAGGAGTTTTGAGTAGCATTCAGCTGGGAAAGAGAAGCCCACATTCAAATTAAATAACTGATGTGCTGATGGGGAAAAAATCTACTTAGCTTTCCTTGCTAAGGAGAATATTCAGCTAAACTGATCTTCTTTCTCAGAGAGCATTGCATGTTCTCTGATATCTCTTGGGTTTAAAAAAAATGTTTACATGGAGGAGGGTAGTATTGTCTGAGTAAAAAATCATCATAATGATAAATGCCATTCATTACAGTCCTAGTATTTGCAAGTCATCTTGCCAGGTGCTTTTAATCCAGTATTGATATCCATCACTCCTATAAGATAGTGTTTGCAAACCTCGACTGGCTGATGAAAAACTTGTAAAATTCCCCAAATCACACGGTGGTAAGTGACAGAGCTGGGACCAGTCTGGAGCCCACACTGTTGCACTCCTCCCAGCCAGAGGCTGACCTTCTGTCTCTTAGTTCATTTTTCTTCTCATCACTACAAAATGTCTGTCAGGCAAATAAAAGGACTCTGTAATCAAAGTCGAGCCCCTGCGTGGCGCAAATGTTTAAGTGCTCTGCTACTAAATGAAAGGCCGGCAGTTTGAACCCATTCAGAGACATCTAGGAAGAAAGGCCTGGTGATCTGCTTTCAAAAGGTCACAGCCTTGAGAACCCCATGGGTCTCGGTTCTACTCTGCAACACACGGGGTTGCCATAAGTTGGAATCAACTCAATGGCAGCAATTTTTTATTTTGGTAGTGAAAATATAAAAGCAGGCCAAAAGCAGCAATGTGAATCTAAGAATAAATAAAAATTGCAGGATTATCTGTAGGTTCATTTGCCTAGGGTCCTGCTACACCTAGCCCCAGGGTTCCTTGAAAGCTGCTTCTTCCCAGGGGCTGGTATATTTATTCAGCTCCACTCTATCCCACATTATAGCACCCTTCCCTGGGCCTGCCTCACTGAGCCCTCCAGCCCACCTCAGGAATCTAACCAGCTCTTCACTGCCTTCTCCTCTGGATGCTGCTCCTGCACCCAGTGGAACAGACAGCCCAGAATCACCTGCCCTCCCCCTGACTTAGAGCATCTAACTCCCTGGTCGTCACTTCATTCACCGTGGATGTATATCATCTTTGTCTTCCTGTTGATGTGGTAACTTGGAGATCTTTCTTTCTTTTCTTCTTTCCTCCTTTTCTGTGGTTAGTTTTCGAATGTTGTTCCTTTTACTAGATGCTTCAGATAGCTTCTGAACACTGTATAAGTTTTTAAATCACTTTGGTTACTCATTTATTCCTATATATCAGGTTTAGCAGTAGGAGTTTTTATATTTTGTGAACCAAATTGGGAAACCTTCCATCTTATTTTGTGATCTGGAGCAGAATAACATGGCATTGGATTAGGTGTTTTTGTGGAAAATGTGAGATAACTCAGCAGAACAATTGTTAGGATCAAGAAGTAGAGCCAAATAAAGTAAAAGAGGACCATTTCTTGTCTTACTATTATTGTTAGTCTGTTGTTCTGTAAAATAAAATGATACATACTGGATGGTTGAGATTGTGTGTCAACTTGGCTGGGCCATGACTCCCAGTGGTTTGGCAGTTGTATGATGTTCTGATCACCCCCATGATGAGATCTGATATAATGTGATCACCTCCACGATGGGATCTGCTGTGAGTAGCCAATCAGTTGAAAGGGAGTTTCCTTGGGTGTTTGGTCTGCATCGAATATAAATAGACATTCTGACGAGGTTCCCTGGCTTTTGCTCCCTCTGCTCCTGGCTCTGGCAAATGTTCCAAAGCTCTGTATCTTCATGGATAAGTGCCCGGAGGCACCATACTCCACCACTAAACTGTGGCCAGAAGGCACTCAGCTCTCTTGCTCTGTGGCTTGGCAAGCCTGGCTTTACCGGATAATTGCCTGGAGGCACACCCCTCCGCCATGAAGCCCCCTGCGTCAAGGCACTCAGCTCTCTCGCTCCCTGGGTTGGCTCCAGCACCGTGTGGCGCTAGTCTCCTCATTCTGCTGCTTCTTCTTGCCATCTGAGCCATCTCCAGTGTAACAGTGCCCCGCACCTCCTGAAACCTCACCAGAACTGTCTTTGATGTCCATAATTCCACCAACGGTCTCTTCAAGGCAATCTAGGCTTTTACTACTAGTCACTTTAAAACCCTTCTAGCCTCTTTCCATTCACAGTTTCCAAACTGCTTCCACAGCTTAGGTATTTCTTAGAGCAGCACCCCACTGTTCCACTAACATATTCTGTCTTGGTTATCTAGTGCTGCTATAACAGAAATACCACAAGTGGACGGCTTTATCACAGAGAAATTTATTCTCTCACAGTCCAGTAGGCTAGTAGTCCGAATTCAGGGTGGCAGCTCAGGGAAAGGCTTTCTCTCTCTGTTAACTCTGGAAGAAGGTCCTTGTCATCAATCTTTCCTGATCGAGGAGCTTCTCAGCATAGGAACTCTGGGTCCAGAGGGTGTGCTATTCTCCTGGCTCTTGTTTCTTGGTGATATGAGGTCCCCCATCCAAATACTATCCAAGCCTGACCCTGAACGTGCCAGATCTCTTCTGATCTTGGAAGCTAAGCAGGGTCTGGCCTGGTTACTATTTGAACGGGGGACCTCATACTACCAAGAAGGTTTGTGTTGCATTATACTGGGGAAGTCTACCATGCACCCACATTTAAAAACATACTCCCCAATAAGGATTGATTTTTGCCTCCCCCCTCCAAAATAGGTGTTGTAAATCCTAACCCTGTGCCTATGGTTATAATCCCATTTGGGAATGTGTGTTGTTATGTTAAAGAGACAGTATTATTGTAAGTTGTGTCTTAAGTCAACCCACCAGCTGCTCCAAGGGAGAAAGATCTAGGAGTCAGCTTATGTAAGGATTTACAGCCTTGGAAACCCTAGAGGGCAGTTCTACTCTGTCCTATTGCATCCCTATGAGTCAGAAACTTCTTGTCAGCAGTGATTTTTTTTGTTATTCGGGGGGTGTCTCAAGTCAATCTCTGTTGAGATATAAAGGAGCAGATTGAGCAAGCAAGTAAGCACAAGTGGGGAAAGACAGTGCCACGCCACAGGAGATCACCAAGGAACTGAGAAAGAGAAGCTGAAGAAAGACAACAACCTTCCCCAAAGCAAACGGAGAAAGAAAGCCTTCACCTAGAGCCAGCGCCCTGAATTCGGATTTCTAGCCTCGAAAATTGTGAGAAAATACATTTCTGTATGTTAAAGCCATCCACTTGTGGTATTTCTGTTATAACATCACTAGTTAAGTATGACAATCCCTAATGAGCGGCCAAACTCGTTGTCCTTGACAGCTAATGTAAATTTTGGCAGTGGGATCCCATCCAGTGGCACCATGGAAGAAAGACTTGGCTATGTGTTTGTGTAACAATTACATCCAAGGAGACCCTGTAAGGCAGTTCTTCTCTGAAATACACAGAGTGGCATTTAGTTCATACTGACTCAAGGGCAATGGGCTAATGTAAAATATTACTTCGTTTTTCTTCCTAATCAGCATTTGCTTTTCTGATTTGGTTTTCTTTGTCCTAGAGCACTGCATTCCTGACACATCCTGGAGACAACAAAACAAAAATTGTCAAGA